GTCCTCTTGCTTTCTAACTTAACTTTCTCCTTTCCTTCCTGCTATACACTGATTTTTTTTTCTTTTCGTTTCTATTCAATTTCGTTATCATTTTAAGGCTGGTTACAACCCACCACATTGATTTTCTGCCCTGCAGTATCAGACAGCCTTGATGTGGGCAATAATGAACTCCAGCCAACTCCAGTGATGAACACTTGAGGGAATATTTCTGGCCTCTGCCGGATTTCAGACATACTTACCAGGGTTTCACAACAGAAATGCAAATGACCTGGAGAAGCTCACGTTTCCATGTGCACCACAATGCCTAGCAAAGTTAGACCCTCCCTTGGGCCCCACCCATGGACCAGGACGGGAAAGGGTGCTAGAACTCCTAGGAGATAAGGTGGAGATGGGCCAGGCATGCCCACACACTGTAGGAGGGTGCTTTGTTGGCAAGGTGCAAGATGGAGCTTTGAAAATGTTCCTGCTGCTGACCCAGAGGTTCTGAGCCTCCGTGTGTGCCCTCCAGGAAGGATTAAGGGGATGCCCAGAGATTCCAGTTGCATCGTCTAATGGTGAAGGATGTTGAGCACCTTCTCACGTGCTTATTGGCCATTTGTGTATCTTCTTTGGTGAAATACTTCTCTAATTCTTGCCCACCTTTTACTTGATTTTCCTTATTATGGAGTTTGGAGAGTTTTGGTTTTTTTTTTATTTTTAATTTGAAAGACAGAGAGAGAACAGGAACGGGTACAGGCGGGGGGGGGGGGGGTGGGGGGAAGCAGACTCCCCGCTGAGCACAGAGCCCAGTGAGGGGCTTGATCCTGAGATTCCAGGATCATGACCTGAGCCAAAGGCAGACAGGCGGACACTTAACTACTAGAGTGAGAGAGAGAAAGAGCATGAGCAGGGGGAGGAGCAAGGGAGAGGGAGAAGCAGGCTCACATCTGAGCAGGGAGCCTGACTGGGGGCTCAATCCCAGGACCCCCCGATCATGACCTGAGCTGAAGGTAGACACTTAACTGCCTGAGCCATCCAGGCACTCTGATTCAGAGCATTTTTTTTTTTTTTTTAAATTGGAGAGATACAGAGAGAGAGCTAGAGAGCACAAGTGAGGGAGAAGGAGAAGCAGGCTCCCCTCAGAGCAGGGAGCCCGACG